CAACAAAATCAGATATTATGTACCTAACTCTGCTCTCATCTCTCTATATTATGCACTAATCTATCCCTATCTTAATTATGGTATCTGTGCATGGGGTTCAACCACTGCAAACCACCTCAAGTCCATCATTACCCAGCAAAAATCTGCTATCAGAATAATAACAAATTCTGCTTTCAGAAAACACTCAGCCCCCTTGTTTAACTCCCTAAACATGCTAAACATAATCTCACTCCACAAATTCTCTTGTGCCAACTACATTTACAAAACCCTGTTCTTAAATGCAAATCCTGCTCTGAAACTCTCCCTGGACAGATGTAATAGGACCCATTATCACCACACCAGAAATAAATATCGCTTTGATATCCCCAGAGTCAAACCTAATTTGTGTAAACACTCTATGCAAATAAAGGGACCCAGTCTATGGAACTCACTCCCTATTGAATTGAAAAGCTGTCCAACTTTTGCATCATTCAAAAACAATACTAAAAAGTACCTAATTTCATTTTCATAGTTTTTTACCTTTTGCTTTAAAACTGCACTGTATCTATTGCTACCCAATCTCCCAATCTTTATGTACCCAATCTGAACATCTTTATCATTGCGATCATTGCTGTCTTCTTATATGTACTGTCAATCTGCTGTATGGTATCTATTAATCTTGTTTAAATTACCAATCAAGCTGTCAATGTAATCAATCAGAGCTTTAATATACCAATGTGCTTTAATATACTAACTAATCTCTCTCATCTCATTTTTTTTCTTGCAATGTATTTGTTATCATTTTATTAATTCTGATAGAATTTACCTACTTAAAATTATCTGTTAGATTAAGGACCTGACCGAAACGCTGCGCGTACTAGTGGCTTTACAAGAGTGCAATTACTGTACTATCCAATGTATTCTCACAAACCCAATGTACCTTCTTGTATATAAATAAATAAATAAAAATAAATAAAATAAATAATGGGAACAGATGGATGCTAGAATCCATCAGATTTGGCAAACCAGTTTGTCCTTTTTGTTTTTGTGATCAGATTTAATGATAAGGTACGACAATTTGTCGTTATGACCTGAGCCCATTAAAACAAACTCATAAGTTTCATTCCCTTTGTCTCTAAACACTAAATGTTGTGAATTCGTGTGGAACTATATGTTTAAATAGAATTTACATGCAAATTGTCTTTCAGCTGCAGTTCAAGAGCAAAGGAGATGATAAACTTCCATGCCGATCATGAGTTCCGAGTGTAACCTGCCTGGATAAGTTTTGGAGACGGGTTCACAGGACGCTTGCTACTGTCTAGTAAAACAGCAAAGCTGTTTTTAATCTAGTTGTAAATAGTAATCAATAATATTCAATGATTTATTATTATTACGTGTTTAAATTTTTATATACACGCTTATTACTTATTATCTAAATTTACCCCCTAGGTTTGTGTCTAAAGTCTGCTCTATAATATATTTTATTTACAGTCCATTTATTATGCATTGATAGATTTCGGTTACATTTAATATAAGAGATCTATAGGTATTGGTTCTCTAATTTATTTATTTATTAAGAATGGTCCTTCGAATTTATGAGATTTATTATCATTACACTGGAGCCAGATTTCCCCACAGGGATGGTAGATATGCACAGGAAAGGTGGTGAAGGAGAGGGAAGGTGGTGAAGGAGAGGGAAGGTGGTGAAGGAGAGGGAAGGTGGTGAAGGAGAGGGAAGGTGGTGAAGGAGAGGGAAGGTGGTGAAGCAGAGGAAAGGGGGGTGATGGAGAGTGAAGGTGGTGAAGGAGAGGGAAAGTGGTAATGGAGAGGGAAGGTGGTGAAGGAGAGGGAAGATGGTGATGGAATGGGAAGATGGTGATAGAGAGGGAATGTGGTGATAGAGAGGGAATGTGGTGATGGAGAGGAGATGGTGGTGATAGAAAGTGAAGCTGGTGATGGATAGGAAAGATGATGAAGGACAAGGAATGTGGTGAAGAAGAGGGAAGGTGGTGAAGGAGAGGGAAGGTGGTGAAGGAGAAGGAAGATGGTGAAGGAGAAGGAAGGTGGTGAGGGAGAAGGAAGGTGGTGAAGGAGAAGGAAGGTGGTGAAGGAGAAGGAAGGTGGTGAAGGAGAAGGAAGGTGGTGAAGGAGAAGGAAGGTGGTGAAGGAGAGGGAAGGGGGTAAAGGAGAAGGAAGATGGTGAAGGAGAAGGAAGATGGTGAAGGAGAAGGAAGGTGGTGAAGGAGAAGGAAGGTGGTGAAGGAGAGGGAAGGTGGTGAAGGAGAAGGAAGGTGGTGAAGGAGAAGGAAGGTGGTGAAGGAGAGGGAAGGTGGTGAAGGAGAGGGAAGCTGTGCCTACAGCCCTCAACCTGTCCTCTTAAAAATAACGTCGCTTTTGGCCGTTTACCCGTTTGGCTGAAAGTGGACGTAATTTGAAAATTAATAAAAAAAATGTAAATAAATTTGGTATTTTTTTCAACAACAGTAGGTTAAGGGTCCTCTGATAGGTTAAGTGGGCAAGAAATTCTCATAAAGTTTCAAATCTTTATGAAAAATGTTAATTGAAAGTTTCCTTTTCTAACCTTACCGAGTAAGCCGGACGACTCAAACAGAAAATGGGACCTTACGTCATTTTTGTGAGTCAATTTCATTTCAAATTACGTCCAAATTTGGCCAAAGCGAGCATTTGTAAGAGGACAGGTTGATGATAGTAACAGAGACGAAGATATAATTTAAGGGGGCGTCTGGTTGGCATCTGGGTCCAAAAATGCAAAAATGAAAACTCATTCGATTTCAATCAAACTTTTTTGACAAGTTCTATATGAAAAGTGTTTCATCTGGTCCAAGTTTCAGCATTGTAGCATAAATAGGAAGGGAGAAAAAAAATATTGAAGTAGTTGTGAAAATTATGCAAAAATGGTCAAAATCGATTATCAATCAAAAGTGTCAACTGAAATCATAACTACGACTCTTTGCTATCACAATAGCATATATTAAACAAATATTATTATTAGTTTAATTGGAAAAAAAATTTAAGGAAAAAAAAAAAGGATTTTTTTTTTTTTTTTAATATTTTTTTTTTCATTTTTTTTTTGGGCGATTTGCATCAAACTTACACACCTGACTGTACGTAAGCCTATCTGTAAGGATGCCAATTTTGGAGAAAATTGGTTGATGTCAACCCCAGCCACAGATTTTAGAACCTTAGACTTTATTCATTTCTGTTTTTTTTTCAATTGACACAAACGTTTACAAAACTCATTCTTTTCTTATTCAATTTACATGAAACTTACACAGTATATGTGGAGGGCATGTCTCTACATTGGGGGGCTTTCATTTTTCTCTAAGTTCATTTATTGATTTTATAATAGCAATAAACATGCCATATTTGCAAAAAAATTTTGGGGAACTTTGAACATTTGTATTAGGAAAACTAAAGATGTTTTGGAAATTCTAAATCCCCAAATCCTTTATTATATGCTAATGTGTCAGAAAAGTGTCACAGAATAATTTTATCTGAAACGTGTGTTCTTTAGTGTGGACTTGAAAATGTGTAAAATACGTTCAAAAAAAAAAAAAAAAAAAAACTCCCTTTCTATTTACGCTGCAGTACTGAAACTTGGGACAATTTAAGCACTTTTCATATACAACTAGAAAAATAATATTGGTTGACATTGAACAACTTTCATTATAATAACCAGACGCCCCCTTAATGAAGATGGTTACAGTGATGAGGACAGTCATGTGTAGTGTAGATGGTTACTGTGATGAGTAGTCATGTGTAGTGTAGATGGTTACAGCGATGAGTAGTCATGTGTAGTGTAGATGGTTACAGTGATGTGTAGTCATGTGTAGTGTAGATGGTTACAGCGATGAGGACAGTCATGTGTAGTGTAGATGGTTACTGTGATGAGTAGTCATGTGTAGTGTAGATGGTTACAGCGATGAGGACAGTCATGTGTAGTGTAGATGGTTACAGTGATGAGTAGTCATGTGTAGTGTAGATGGTTACAGTGATGAGTAGTCATGTGTAGTGTAGATGGTTACAGTGATGAGTAGTCATGTGTAGTGTAGATGGTTACAGTGATGAGTAGTCATGTGTAGTGTAGATGGTTACAGTGATGAGTAGTCATGTGTAGTGTAGATGGTTACAGTGATGAGTAGTCATGTGTAGTGTAGATGGTTACAGTGATTGTAGATGGTTACAGTGATGAGTAGTCATGTGTAGTGTAGTACTGTGATGTCATGTGTAGTGTAGATGGTTACAGTGATGAGGACAGTAGTGTAGATGGTTGAGTAGTCATGTGATGATGGTTACAGTGATGAGACAGTCATGTGTAGTGTAGATGGTTGATGACAGTCATGTGTGAGGTTACAGTCATGTGTAGTGTAGATGGTTACTGCATAGTCATGTGTAGATGGTTACTGTGATGAGGACAGTCATGTGTAGTGTAGATGGTTACAGCGATGAGGACAGTCATGTGTAGATGGTTACAGTAATGAGTAGTCATGTGTTGTGTAGATGGTTACTGTGATGAGGACTGTCGTGTGTAAATGGTTACTGTGATGAGTAGTCATGTGTAGTGTAGATGGTTACTGTGATGAGGACTGTCGTGTGTAGTGTAGATGGTTACTGTGATGAGCACAGTCATGTGTAGATGGTTACTATGATGAGGACAGTCATGTGTAGTGTAGATGGTTACTGTGATGAGCATAGTCATGTTTAGTGTAGATGGTTACTGTGATGAGCACAGTCATGTGTAGTGTAGATGGTTACTATGATGAGCACAGTCATGTGTAGTGTAGATGGCGTCCGTGTTGCAGATAGTATGTAGTGACGGGAGTTACAGTTATGATGGCTGTAACTAGTTAAGAGGGTTATAGTGAGGAAAATCGTTCGTAGGAAAGAAGGCTTCAGTGATATAGACTGTATGAAGAGAACTTTGTTACATGATGTAGATAGTGTGAAGTGAAGATAGGGAATAATTTACCCGAATAATTACGAAACTTAAACAATCTTACTTTTTCTCCATTGCATGTTGCAGTCCCTCATCGTGCGAGGCAACAAAGTAGGTACGATCAACCAGCATCTTGTTCAGAGTGGAGTTAGACTTCTTGAAGGAATCATAGAAGAGAGTTCGAAAGTAAGTAGGCATAACCACTCTGTAAATAAACAATTATAGATGATTGCAGACATTTTATTAGTTACATTAAGAAATTATCTGTTACAGTGGATCATTGGGATACATTGTTTTTAACGGGATCATTTACATATGTTTAAATTAATTCATAAAATGCAATTTCATTGTATGTGCCATTCCATTTTATAGTAACCATAAGATATGAATTGTATACATGAAATAATATTAGAATCTCGTGGTGTTTTCAGCTTGACTAAGGAGATTAAAAAGAACAGTTGTAGCGTAGCTATGATCACACTCATTACCGCTGTAAGACTCAAAGTGACTAAAACAATATTACAAATTATCAGCCCCTGAATATCTGGTGAATAAAGTAATTCTCTGTTCTTCTTTACTCAGTTGGTTAAAACCCTGATTGCTGAAGCGTTGCTATTAACAAAATATATGAGAATCCACTTACTCTCATATAGTGAGGCTCCCATTAGGGAGTTACTATAGTAAATGTTTCTCAAGAGGCTTAATTAATGTCCTTAGAACTCTTCCACTCTTTCAAGCTCTGTAACCATAGGAATCTCAGACATATTGGTCAAGCGTGCCAGATCTTTAGTAATTCTACGTATGTGCCAATAGAAAGTAAACCTCTCTTCCAAAAGTAAGAGGGAAGTGCTCGTGAAGGAGAAAACACGAAAAAAAACAGCACAATGTAATGAAACGCCATTTTCTGGGTGAGACCCGGAGGCTCCCCGGAGCTATCCGGGCTGATATGAATGTATTAGACTCTGACATCAGTCAGTTAATGGGAGTTCACAGGCCTACCAGGGACCACAAGCCAGAACCTGTCCCTCTCAGAGTCACGAGCAGCAATGGCCTATATAAACCCCCGTGGGGTTGGAAGCATTCTATGTCTGCCATCGACCGGGTCGGGCACCCAGAAAGGTAGGAGCCTAAAAAAAAACAATGTGGTTAAAAATTGCTACCGAAAGCCGAACTGTTGGACAGAACTGCCCATACGAATAACGAGGATGACGTCACAACCGTCACCGAGCCGCCATCTGCAAAACTCCCACCGCCATAAAAGTGGAAGCCCCAGATTCCCCTCGCGCCGACTATCCACCCTTCAGTTCTGAGGCTGGATGTCAAAACTCGCGAAAAACCACTGACCGGAGGGAAGGAGGGTTCCTGGGGAGCCTCCAGGTATCACCAAGCAAAGGGCGTTACATTACACTCAACGCTGATTTTCTGGGGGAAGCCCCTTCGGCTTCCCGGAGCCACTTAATCAAAGACAAAACAAGAGGGACTTACCCGGGAGTTGGTCCCCATTCGCTCCTCAACTCGAAGTCGAGACATCTGGCTTCAACCACGAACCCAATGCGACACATTGACCAGGTAGTCAATGGCCTAAAGAAACCCCTATGTGGTTGGAAGCATTCTATGTCTGCCATCGATAGGGCTGGGCACCCAGAAAGGTAGGCACACTAAAACAAACCCTATCTGGTTAAAAAGTTGCTACCGAAAGCCGAACTGTTGAGGGGAGAACTACCCAAACGAAAAACAAGCAAACGAGCATGAGGTCACAACCGTCACAGCACCGCCGTCTGCACAGCTGCACAGGCCCTAGTTCCTGACTAGGGCCAGGAACATTGACCAGGTAGTGAGCGGCCAGGACCCTGTTCGACCTCCAAAAACCTGGTGATGTTTTTGGAGGTTTTTGGTTGACGAGCTAAAGCAGCAAACTTATGAAAACCATGGGCATGAGGATAGACCGCACCCCCTAACCTCGAGCATTACCTGTCCCACAACCCTAGGAATTCGTCCTGTCCCAAGCAGTCCTGAGCAGTTTCTAAGGCTTCCCCCGCACCCCTCCTCCCCCCACCCCGACTTCCCCTGAACCCCTGGTAACTTGCCCACAGGAGGATGAGCCTACCCAAGCAGCAATGCCCACAGAACAGATTCCTACATTAGTGGGGAGGGTGGGTGAAAATGGATATAGGAAAGTAGCTTCAAGATAATGTACTCAATCATCGATGGGATAACCAACAAAGCAAGTGAACTGGCAGAAAGGGCGCAGGAAGAAAACCCAGATGTCATAGGACTCACAGAAACAAAATTGTCAGGAGTCATAATAAACGCTGTGTTTACAGAGGACATTTAGTATAGGAAAGGACATATAGTAAGGAAAGAAAGGGAAGGGAGAGGAGGAGAAGTGGCCCTGCTGATAAGGAAGGACTGGAGCTTTGAAGAGATGGAAATTCTGGGCTATGATGGATTCAGAGATTACATATCAGGAACTATGACAAGGGGTAGACTTAAGATAATAGTGGCAGTCATTTGCAACCCTTCACTAAATGAAAGAAGACTCAGACAAGAGTTCGACAGAAACAACATAGAAATCATTAATATAATAGAGAGAGAACAGCTTCAGTTGCCTGCAGGAATGGATCCAGACCCTTAATCATGGGCGATTTCAACCATGGAAAGATAGACTGGGAGAATGGGACTCTCATGGAGATGAAGATACATGGAGAGCTAAACTCTTGGAAACGACAACAAGGAACTTTCTAAGCCAACATGTCAAGGGACCCACAAGAATGAGAGGCAATAACAAACCAGCTAGACTCGACCTGATATTCACCTTGAATGATTCAGAAATAAGGGAAGTCAAATTTGAAGCCCCATAGGAATGAGTGACCACAGTGTATCGACATTTGAGTATCTGGTAGAGGTAGAGATAACCTATCCAAGTATGGGATTGGAAGGGAAAAGACTAAATTACCCAAGAGGAAAATATGACGAGATGAGGAACTCACTAATGGGAATACCATGGGAAATAGAACTCAGAGAAAAGACAGTACAGGATATGATAGATTATGTCATCTAGAAATGCCAGGAAGCTGCAGACCGGTTTATACCAACCCAAAAAGAGAGAAGTGAATAGCAACAGAAGAATCCATGGTTCTATCAGGAATGTGCGGCAGCAAAGCAATTGAGTAAAAGAACATGGAGGAACTACAGGAACAACAGAACACCAGAGAGCAGGGAGAGATACCTGAGGGCCAGAAATGAGTACCTCAGAGTGAGGAGAGAAGCAGAGTGACAGTATGAAAATGACATCGCGAGTAAAGCTAAGACCCAACCAAAACTGCTCCACAGCCACATCAAGAGGAAAACAGCAGTGAAGAAACAAGTGATGTAACTGAGAAAAGGGAAGAACATATACACAGAGAACGACAAGGAGGTGTGTGAAGAACTCGACAAGAAATTTCAAGAGGTCTTCACAATAGAATAAGGAGAAGTCCCTGCACTAAATGAGGAGGCAAACCAAGAAGACTTGGAGGAATTTGACTTCACCAGTGAGGAGGTCAAAAGGAATCTGTTGGAGCTGAAGGTGACAAAGGCTGTTGGGCCTGACAGAATCTCACCTTGGATACTGAAAGAAGGTGCAGAGGCACTAAGTGTGCCACTCTCTATGGTGTATAACAGGTCTCTGGAAACGGGAGACCTACTGGAAAGCTGGAAGACAGCTAATATAGTCCCAATATACAAAAAGGATGACAGACAAGAGGCACTGAACTATAGGCCAGTTTCCCTATCTTGTATACCATGCAAGGTGATGGAGAAGATCACGAGGAAAAGGCTCTTAGAACATCTGGAGGGAAATAGTTTTGTAACACACCACCAGCATGGGTTCAGAGATTGTAAATCGTGCGTCACAGGTCTAATAGAATTCTATGACCAAGTAACACAAATTAGGCAAGAAAGAGAAGGGTGGGCAGACTGCATTTTCTTGGACTGTCAGAAAGCCTTTGACACAGTTTCTCACAAAAGGATGTTACGAAAGTTGGAGCAACAAGCAGGAGTGAAAGGTAAGGTGCTCCAGTGGATAAGAAAGTATCTAAGCAACAGGAAGCAGTGAGTAATGGTGAGGGAAGAGGCATCAGAGTGGCGAGATGTCACAAGTGGAGTTCCACAGGGCTCTGTACTTGAACCTATCCTGTTTCTAATATATGTAAACGACCTTCCGGAGGGTATAGACTCATTCTGCTCAATGTTTGCTGATGATGCAAAAATTATGAGAAGAATAAAAACAGATGAAGATAAACAGAGACTACAGAACGACCTGGACAAACTGGTGGAATAGTCTAGAAAATGGCTACTAAAGTTCAACTCAGGAAAGTGTAAAGTAATGAAATTAGGCGAAGGAAGCAGAAGGCTGACCACAAGGTACCATCTGGGAGGTGAAATCCTGCAAGAGTCAAATAGAGAGAGAGATCTGAGGGTTGATATCACACCGAACCTGTCCCCAGAGGCTCACATCAAAAGGATATCATCAGCGGCATATGCTAGACTGGCCAACATAAGAACTGCCTTTAGAAACTTGTGTAAGGAATCGTTCAGGACCCTGTATACCACTTATGTAAAACCAATCCTGGAGTATGTAGCTCCAGCCTGGAGTCCATACCTAGTTAAACACAAGACAAAGTTAAAGAAGAGGTATGCCACCAGACTTGTCCTGGAACTGAGAGGTATGAGCTACGAGGAAAGGCTAAGGGAACTGAACCTCACATCCCTGGAAAACAGAAGAGTAAGGGAAGACATGATAACCACCTACAAAATTCTCAGGAGAATTAACAGGGTGGACAATGACAAACTCTTTAGCAAGGGTGGAATACGAACAAGGGTACACAGGTGGAAATGTAGTATCCAGATGAACCACAGAGACATTAGAAAGAGCTTTTTCAGTGTCAGAGTCGTTAACAAATGAAATGCATTAAGTAGTGATATGGTGGAGGCAGACTCCATACACAGTTTCAAATGTAGATATGATTGTGCCCAGTAAGCTCATGTATCTGTACACCGGTTGATTGACAGTTGAGAGGCGGGACCAAAGAGCCAGAGCTCAACCCCTACAAGCACAACTAGGTGAGTACAACCAGGTGAGTACAGGTGGGACACCATCAACGAAGCCACCTGCTAGCCATACAAGTGGTGATAGACCCGTGTCAGAAAGACCAGACATGAAGA